CAACAGCCCAACTGAGGAACCCACCTTCTCAGAGAACTCCAACAGCCCAACTGAGGAACCCACCTTCTCACAGAATTCCAACAGCCCAACTGAGGGGATTTGTTGGTTGCCTACCCAAGAAGCCTTTCCCCTCACTTTATCCCTTGCCATCAGAAACTACTTTAATCAGATGGCAGGCGGTCTTGATTTGTCTAAGTGAAGCCTAGCAATTCCTAGTCATTCGATTCCTCTTACAGTGACTTGCCATGTCTAGCCAATGAGACCTGAGGAACTTCTATGACTAGTTTTCTTGCAAGAAGAGTAGCAACAGGACACAGGTCCCTTTTCCTGACACTGGATATTGTTACAGAAAACGGAGGTACCCAAACACATCAGCCATCTTACAACCATGGAAGGGAATGCCAAGAGCGATGACACGCCACAGCTTTATGTCACTGTGCCACCAAAGCAGTCAGCCCTGTAATGCCACACCTTGGGACTTTTTGTTAGGGAGATAATAAACAGCTGTTGTTTGAGCCACTTTCGGTGGTCTTCTTGTACATGTAATGGAAAGCATACTAACTGACAAAATGACTCATACACTGAAGAACCACCTTCCAAAAAGCTCACTTGAAAGACCTGAATCTGGTACAAAGCTCCCAGCAGCCTGGAAATAAGGTCATACTAATTCTAAAATCTTTTACAACAGCAATAATCTAAGCTACACTACAAGACAGTCCCTGTATTTACTACTCTTCCAACAGCACTAACAAGATTGATATGAATCAACAATAACCAGGGAATGAGACAGATCCTTATTAAAAAATCTTTCAATAACTTAGTTTGATTCGTGGGCCACAGATCTTTGTATCCTCTATTATCTTTTCTGGATAATTTTTTTTAATTTAGTGTTATAATCAGTAACAAAGAAACCTTTTCTTCTTACCTGCTGGCTGAGGTAATTTAGAGTTTCATTAAACTCCCTCAGATTTGTCAGCTTATACATTCAACCTGGTTTATTTCATTTATCTTTTTTAACTTAGGGAGGGGTATATTTTAGGCTCTCAATGATGGATGTAATCAGTTCTAAGTCCACCATTAGAACTGCTTTCAGAGATGGTCTGTCAGCAAATCAATCCCACACCCACTTCTAGATATCTGTAAGCAAAATACTGTACAACGGCCGTCTCCAAACTGTCAGTTAGAGCAAAGGAGCTTAATTCAGGAGCCACATGATGTGTAAAACTTCTTTTTCAATTTAGAGGTAAATTCCGCAGGCCAGTCTTTGATGTCAACCTAACTTCCAAAAAGAATTCTGCCAATGTGTTAGGGACGCCAAGAGCCCAGGTGAAGCCTGAAATCGGGGGAGGGGAAAGAGAGGACAGAAATGTAATAAAGGAAAAGGCAAAGCTTGAAAGGACAGCTTGTCATACAAGGACAGCAATGATGGAATCACAGGACTCGAATTAAGGCCTTTCCCATGCCAGATCCTGTTTCCTCATCTGTAAACTGGTGATCTAAACTAGACGACCTCCAAGATAATCCAGTTTCAGACAGAATCCCACACAAATGTTTGACCATTAAAAGTAAGTCAGAGTGGAGAACTTAGGGTTCGTTTGGCTTCAAAGACCAAGATTGCTTGCAATGTTTGGGCACAGAAGAGCTTAGCATATCTTCCTGTGGATTCTATGATACATCACTTTGCTCTTTAAATCTGAAACCTTCCAGGCTGTTAATATAAAGTAAAGCAAAATCATAAAATGCCTTCAATTTATCAACTGGCCCAAAAGGAATAGACCCTAGATACTTAACTCTATCATTTCCCTTTCTAACAGCAGACAGCCACAGAGTTTCCAAAGCTACGCTGGATCAGTTTGTCATCTTTACAATGCTTTGCATGATTTCCTCCTCACCACCATTTGTGGAAAGGAACATGCCAAACATTTCCCCTTGTTTATGTTTACCAGCAGAATCACCATTAAGGAAAATGGCAGGCCCAGACAGGACACCTTCTCTGGCATCAGCTGTCACACATCACGGGAGCAGTGTAAGGAAACAGAAAGGGTTACTAAAATGGAGATTAGAGAGGAAACTGAGTCTCTGGGGATTTAAGAAAATATTTATATATGGAAACATCCTGTGTCTGGTTTGCCCAACATTTGAAATTCATCCTCTTGATGTAAACTGAGGAGCTCTGGTGGCGCAGTGGTTAAGCGCTTGGCTGCTAACTGAAAGGTTGGCAGTTCAAACCCACCAGCTGCTCCGAGAGAGAAAGATACGGCAGTCTGCATCTGTAAAGATTACAGCCTTAGAAACACTACCGGGAAGTTCTGTTCTGTCCTATGTGGTTGCTATCAGTTGGAACTGACTGGCCGGCAGCAGGTTTTGGTTTGAATGTAAACTGAGCTGAATGACATTTTGTCTTGAGTCAAAAATACTTAGATTTAAGAACTACGAGAGTATAAAACCATTGAAGTTTTTTTTTTTAAAATTAAAGAAAAGGAAAGCAACATGGATAATGATAATAAAAGATAATAATGGCTAATATCTATGGAGGCTTGAGGTGCCAGGAACCAGATGTATTGTACACTTCATAGAATGTATGTTTTTTCCTCATAACAACCCTTGACATGGGTTCTATTATTATTTCCTCTCCCTCTCATTTTACAGATGAAGCAGCTGAGATTTAAAGAGGTTAAATTAACTTTTGCCACCTCACACAATGAAGGTAAGCCGTAGTAAAAGGATTCAAAACCCAGGTCTGTCTGTTTTTAGATTATGCTCTTCACAGCTATAGCACTGTGGGCTGTGGAGTCAAACTGCCCTGGTCAGACTCCTGGCTCCACCAACACCTAGTCATATGACCTTGGTAACTGCACCTCATTTTGCTTATCTATAAAACTGAGATACCAGGCATGCTTACCTCATAGGGTTGTTGATGAGAATTAAATGAGATAAAACAAGGCCTGGCATATAATTAGCACTCAACGAGCGTTGTTCTTAGCTACTGTTGTTATAACTTGTTGCCGTCGCATCAGTTTCAATTCATAGCTACCCTACGGGACAGAGGAGAACTGCCCCATAGGGTTTCCAAGGGGCCGCTGGTGGATTCGAACTGCCAACCTTTTTTGGTCAGCAGCTGAGTGCTTAGCCACTGCGCCACCAGGGCTCCAGTATTGTTATAGTAATAAAAGTAGCAGTACTAGCAGTAGTAGCAACAGCAGCAGCAATAGTAGTAGTAGTAAAGGCTGTAGTATTTTTCCATAATGTAATGGAAAGGATATTCTCTAGAGACAAGGGTTCAAATTTCATTACCTCTACCTAGTAGATCATTTGGAGTTGGACGTGAGATTTAACCTCTCCAACTGTCGTTTTACTCCTCCTTAAGGCCAGAATTGTGAAGGGCCTGAGATTTAACCCTACTTGCAAGCTAACTAGTTAGTCTGCCACAATTTCATGGATGATGACAGAAGACACAAAACTCCCAGGTCAGTGACAACGGACTTCCTTACAGCACTGCAAGCAGCATGAGCATCACGTATTTGCATCGGTTCCCCTTGCCCCAGGTCCCACAGGGGGCTACACAAATGGGCCCAAGTGGATACCTATACATGGAGTGAATTACTAGAGAGGAACCATGAGCTGAGAAGACCAAATCTTTGATACAGGGCAGTAAACATGCCTGCCCTTGCTCTGGAGACAGAGAGTATCTTCCAAGGCTGTTTGCTGTGCAAACATCCTTGTAAAGACAGTCTAGAATAAAGCACACAGCGCTTCGCTCACAAGAACTTCAGAAATGCAAGAGACCCATGAAGAAGTGTCTCCCAACGACAATAAACCTAATTCCCTGGGTTCCTTTCAGGACTGAATGACAGCATGGTGCCAAGCAACAGTAGGCAGTAAATAAAGATTCATTTCCAACCTGTTTTCTTTTCTGCTAGTTGAGACCAGAAATAGAGGGCCTCACACAATAAATATTTGCGAAATGAATGAGGAACAGACCATAAAAGCCTGAAACAGTGAACAAATTCTAGCTAACAAGTTTCACTCATGCTACCAAAAACCAGAATAGTCAGCAAATTTCAGTGTGGGATTATCTTCCTTTAAACCAGCGAGTTGACCTCAGCTGCTAGCAGAGATGCAGAAGAGAATACCCATCATCTAGTTTACCCCGCCACCCGCATTAGGAAGCTCTCCTCAGCCTCTGTGCAATGGAAAACCCACCAGCGCACCAAGTACTCCTTGCAATTTTGAACAGCTCTACTCGTTACAAGGTCTTTCGTTAAAATGTAATAAAATCAGCCTCTTTATAATTTCTATACAATGATCCAAGTTCCACCTTTTTCAGTAACACGAAATAAAAGTCTATTCCCTCTGGTGTAAAATTACCCTTTAAATTGTAAAAGACTCTCCATAGTTCTCTCTTTCTCAGGTTAAAACCAGTTGCCGTGGAGTCAACTACAACTCATGGCGATCCCACGTGTGTCAGAGTAGAACTGTGCTCCGTTAGGGTTTTC